CACACTCCCCTCCAGGAGTTCCTAGTTTAAATTTGGGGTGCTTGAAAAAAGAGGTTAGAATCGCCACTGGGTACATCTATTGTTTTTCAGGTTTAACTTTTTATTAATCTACAGGTCTATTTTTTTTATTTTTAAATTACTACATTTAAAATTACTTCCCACACCATGCACAACTGTTAAAAGTTGATGTAAGTTTACAAGATCTGGGAATTTAATACAACAAGTTAAAATGGGCAAATCATTACTTATTCCTTCCGTCCTACTAAATGTGTGATAATATGTCCAAAATCTTTTTCCTCATGATAAGAAGTTGGCAGCACATACCAGGAGGTTCCCAAACTTTAAGGCTTCGGACCCACAAAATGACAGAAGAGACAAACTATAACAAGTTGTCACATAAATACAGCTAATTGGCCAATTAAACAAGTTTAAAGACAAGATAGTCTCCAGTCTGCCTTTATCTGTGTTAATAATAATGTTAACAATATACTATTGGAAATATTTTTAGATGGTATGTGATTTCTGGAAATAATCCCTCCACCTGTCATTTCATACTGTAATGTAGTCGCATCCTGACCCCAACTTTAGTGCCACCTGACAAATGCTGGTGAAGATTCACCTGACAAATACATTTCTTACAAAGTACGAGACATAAGCAGCTTTTAAAAAAGTGATCTGGAAAACATTAGCTGCGTTTGAGAAGTTTAATTATCACTGCAATGCTTGGAGGCAACAATTTACAAACAAATCCTCAAATTTATGATCATTAATGAAACAAACATCATTTCTATTTTGGTTGCTTTCATCTTTATCTAATAGATAACGTGGTTGTAGGAACTTTTAAAACAAAGGAAATTAAATTTGGTGAATAATAGTCTTCACTTCTTGTGGCTGTCTTAAAAATGTGCTTATTTAACTGAGGAAGACAAAATAAACTTTAATTTGTTGAACAGCTGTTTGAATTGTTCAAAGATTAAACAAATCCTTATAAAACAATTAGCCTCCTGTGCTAAATTGTTTATTTAGAAGTCTTTTAAATTGACAAAAATTAAACCGCTTACCAACCTGGCCACACTGGTCCTGAATCTAGTTCCCTAAAATTCTGTGATGTGAGACAAACAAAACCAGCAGTACATTTTGCTTAAGTTACTGGTTTCTACCCATAAGCTGTTAGACTCATAAATCCCTACCCAGGAAAATCACTGTAAAGAAAAGGAAAACCACTGTAGTGCCACTTTGATTGGTGATGTGTCACTTTGTCTGTGCTGCTGATTATCCACGCTGCTGATTTATTGCCTTTGAGTTGCTATATTCATAACCATCTGCTCACTGCAGACTCATGTTCAGGCTGCTGCTTAATACACTGCATTGTTTTGCATTATTGGTGTTTGGCGTGTGTCTTAGATCCTTGTATACTGCTTCTTTTTATATTTCGTACTTCATATTCTATTTTTGCTATATTTGGGTGTAACTGGGACCTTGGTACACAATTTCGTTCCACCTCATGTACCACAGGTGATGCGAATGACAATAAAGAACATTGAACTTTGATAATTTGATATGTTATAAATTCATATCAAGCAAAGTAAATAAGGCACTGCTTTGCCAATCAGTACTCGAGCTAAATAACGACACAAAAATAAAAAAGCCTCAAAATGCACAATTAATTCAGTTCAATTCAATTCAAAAATACTTTATTAATCCCAAAGGGAAATTAAGTGTTGTCGTAGCTCATCATCCTGGTTTCATTCAAGAGTTGTTGTAGATGCTGATAGCTGTGGGAAGGAAGGAACTCCTGCAGCGAGTCTGAAATAACTGGCTATAGATACCGATCAGTTCCACCCGAACCCAGCTTGCTGTCAGATCCAGCAGGCCTCTCGGTCCTCCTGGGCAGCAGGACCGCCCGAATGCCAGGCAGAATTCCTCCCTGAGCAACGGTCACTCCTCCCAGCAGTGTATCGAGCTCCTCGTCACTACAGACAGACAGCTGAAGGTGCCAGGGATGATCCCGGTCCTCCCGTTGCCATGAGTGGAGTTTCCCACCAGCTCCAGGATCTTGACAGTCTGGTACTCGAGCACCGCCGCCAGGTTGATGGGAATTCATCCACGGTGCCTCCTTTTCAACTCATTTGGGATTTGGGGCTGTAGTTGAGGTATTCTAGAGTTTCAGATGTTAACCAGCTGCTCCTGGTTGTTAAAAAACACCTTGTTGCCATGCTTAATGCATCATAACAAATGCCCAAAAGTAAAAAGGCCTCAGCAAAAATCCCTCCAGCTGCATAGCAACCGACACCAGAGCAAACAATCATCCGAAAAAAGCGATCCACATCCAGAAAAAAGAGGAACGAAAGCCTTCAAAAGCGACAGCTCAGAGTGAATGCAACAGAGCCACTCCAGCATGCAGCCACCCCGAGCGACGCAATTCCAGAACACATGAACACATGTGAACACATATGAATGAACACATCAGTTACTTTATTGATTAAAAAATACAACAAAAGCATGGAGGATATTGTTTTGGGCAGAGGCAACAAAGGAGTTAAAGGGAATATGAGATGGGGACCTGTTAAGCACTGTCCAAAGAGGGTCATAAAATGTCAGACACTTAAATTAAGACACAGACACTCAGGTTTAAATGGTAACGACGGTACTGAAGGTGAGCACAGTGAGGAGGACGAATCACTTTTTTTCTGCTGTGACAGACAAAATCTGGAATCATTTCAGACAAGGAGGGGAAGTTTCTCCATCCCTTTTCTTTTGAATGTTCTTTGCACTGCTTGATGCAGGTCAGGTGTGTAGAGCGCACAGGCCAAGTCTATGACAGACTGACAAGATAAGTAATTCAGGTAAAAGTGCTGATTTGCCAATCAGCAACCAAAGCCCATTAACTGCCAAAGTGTTTCCAACCAGCTGACCTCACCCAGGATCTGTGCCACTAATATGAGTCCTGGCACAGCACATGCATATAAAGTAAAAATGTATTTGTACTGTAGAAGTATTCAACATGGCTAATTGTATGGAATATGTATTTAATATGCAATGCTGTGATTGCTAGTATCACTCAACCCCCTGTGAATAGTAAACAGCCATCAGTGTGCTAATGATCCATTGTTAGGCTGATGGTCCTTCTTGACCATGTGAGCAGCTGGTTTTGGTTGTCAGCAGCAAACTGGTTGATCCACTCTGAGAAGGTGCTATTTAAGAGACTGAGCTGAATACAGCACCTCAGACTGAGGAAGTCTCTTGGATGAGAGGCGAAACGTTTCTACATTTTTTTTTTGCTTTGTTTTGTTTTTTTGGTTTTTTTTGTTTTCTTGTTTTTTGAATTTCCAGAGGACCAGATTGAACTTTTTTGGATTTTTCTACCTGGATTATTGAGCATGTATCAGGATGTATGTAATATGGCTCTTTCATATGCATTTTTGTTTTGTGACAAGGAGGTGCACGACACGTTCACAAACAAAAACTCTTCAGGCACACATGCTCACCTTTTGCTTCAAAACAGGCAATTAGAGCTTCGTAATTAAACTAAAGCACATCAGTTTCACAAAGAATACCCAATTTCTTAAATAAAATCATTCCAAAGGACACAAACACCACGAACAACCAGAGGTGAGAGAAGGCGATCAAATGTCTCTTAGCAACAGCTCAGTCTTTCTCTCACCTTTTACCTTTGCCTGGCTGACAAACTTTGCACCTCTGCCCATAAAGACCTCTTTTAACGCTGTCTTCTGAATTTAGATGTTTCTGTGCAGTTGGTAGAGCTGCTGCCTTTCAGTGAGAATGTTGCTGGATTGAAACCCGGCCGGAGAACTTTCAGAGTGGAGTTTACATGTTTGCTCTGTGCATGCGTGGGTTTTCTCCGGGTACTCCAGTTTCCTCCCACAGACCAAAAACATGCATGTTAGGCTGATTGGTAACTCTAAGTGTCCTAGGTGTGAGTGAGAGTGTGAATGGTTGTTTGTCTCTATGTGTCCCTGTGATGGACTGGAGACCTGTCCAGTTGTCTCCCATCTCTCGCACAGCAGCTGCTGAATATGTTCACCAATGACCACCATGACCCAGAAAGGAAGAAGCGGGTAAAGATGATGGATGGATGGATGGATGGATGCTCATACATCTTTTACTCATGCACCAAACATGGTTTTGCTGTATGAGTAAACTGTATCAAGAGCAAAATCAATAACATGACTTAATTAAAAGCCCAGCCTCCTCTGAAGGAATGCATATTGCCCGCCACCTTTCACACCAAAGTTTAGAACTAACTTCATCTTATGCTGAAAAATGATGAAGTTGCAGCCATTTTTTATCAAACCCTGAAATAACATTATGTGCAATATCATGCAATATTGTGACATCTCATGTAATCTTTATGCATTTGGAGTATGCGTTGTGAATGACTTTCGGCTGCTACCACACTAAATTTTAGCTCAATATATGTAAAATTAACTGAAGTATAGGCATTGATTTGTAGGCTAATGTTGATTAGCTGTGACAACCATCTTGAATTGGGTTGACTCCAAAAGTTACTCATCTGTGGATGCAAATTCAATTATTGCTTTCTAGGAGTTTCACTGAAATCCATCCAGTGGCTCATGAGAATCTTTGCTAACAGATAAATGGGTTGACTCCAACAAATAATGCCAAGGTTTTCAGCAAAAACGACACAAACTGTGTCATGCAAATGTAGGGGATTAGCCTCAGCTACTACCACACTAGAGGCAGTGGATTGTAGATGTCAACCCAACGGTTACTTTGTGAAAGTTTCCTTAAAACCTGTTCAGTGGTTCATATGATGTTTTGCTAAAAGTACAGATAAATAAACCCACACAGAAAAAGTCACGGGTGATATGAACAGAACTTCAACAGCTGACTCTGGGTGAAAGAAAAAGGGAAGAAGGACTCTCACTCAGCATTCGAGTCATCGTTACTTGTTCCCACAGAATCCACCTGATGATGTGAAAACACGTGTTTTTCTGCTCTCTACACCGTCCTCTCACCTGTTGTGCTGCTTGATAAGCGCAGTGACCCGGTCTGATTGTGAGCCCAGGTCTCTGGAGTACTGCACCAGGTCGTTCAGTTGGCTTTTCAACTTTTCTGCCATCAGCTCAGCACTCTGCAAGCCCTCCAGAATCTCCTGAAAACAGAAAGCAGTAGTCGGAGTCTGTCTGTTTGGAGGAGACACGCTTCAATCAGTGCATTCCTATTCACACCCAGTCTCCTCTCTCTCACACACACACACACACACAGACGCTCCAACACATACTCACAGTGCTGCTCGTTCAATAGCATTTCTGTTCTTCGAGGAGTGTAACAGGAAGGAGCTGAGGTTCTCCCGCTCCGCCTCACATTCTGCACTCACAGTCATGAAATCCGCTGCCATGAAATATGTACAAGCTCTGACTTTCACTCATCCGCTCTCTCTCTCTCTCTCTCTCTGTTTTTCTGACGTACAACGATTAAACTACCCTCCCTCCCGTCTCTTCTGGACTCGTTGCACTCTTCTCCTTTCCTCCCTCCTCCTACGATGGTTCTAATTTTGCTCCCCTCCTCTCTCCTGCCTGCTACTCGTTTGAATTATTCCCTCTTACACGTTTTTCCCCTCCCTCTCTCCCGGTGGAATACAGCTGTCAAGAGCCCTCGCAGATCCAGAGTTGGTTTCAAACGCACGCAAACAAGCGCGCAAAGAAAACACGGCCGGACGCAGGAAACAGGCTGGAGGAGGAGTAGGAGGAGGAGGAGAAAAAGAAGCAGAGAAGGAAGGGTGGGTGGGTTGGGGGGGAACTCCTCCTCTGTTCTTTGACAGCCCCAAATTGAGGAAAACCGGAGAAAGGCATGGCCAAAGAAGCCTGGGGAGGAGTGTGAGGTGGACCGCTCTAGCACAGCCTTGATAATAAAGAAAAATTGTCAGACTGTAAACATCCTGTGGAGGTTAGGGACAGTGCAGCAGGGGAGGTGAAGAGCAGGCACTCCAAGAAACAGGAAAGGCAAACCAGCTGACTTAATTTCAACCAAAACGGAGTAGGAATAGAAGAAAAACAAAAAAACAATAAGGCAAGGCTTGGAAGGGAGAGATAGTGGAATATAATAGCAATAAAAAAACAAAATGGGAGGGGTAAAGGGGACAGAAGGAGAAGACTGAATAAGCAGAGAACTAGAGGAAATGATGGGATTTTAGCTGTCATTCTGGTCTTCCACTAAAGCTGATTTAAAAACTAATCTGTTTTTAGGATTTACTAACAAAATGGATAATTACAGACAAGGAAAAAGTAGCAAAACACACACCATGTGTACTTGTGTGTGTTTGTGGTTACTTTCCATTACACTGCGTTAATTACTTTTCCCAGCACGGCACAATAAACTTCATAAATCGCAGCCTGACAAGTCTTTTTTTTTCATTAATTTTTTTGCTTAAACTATTGGTCGAACACAATACGTTTATGACGCCATTCTGACTGTTTTAATTGTGTGAATTCAGATTTCCGTTTTGTATTAATCCATATATTTTTTTCATTTTTGACTTCTGCATATTTTGTTATTTTAGCTATTCATGAATCAAAACATTGAACTCATTCGGGAGATGGTTGCTATGACTTGTTTTTTTTGTTTGTAACCTTTACACTTCAAATTATATAACTTTACAAATATTTTCCCCATTGAAATACACCAAGATCGCTTCAGTTCGATAAAACAGCTTTTATTATCTGCTTCAGCAAGCTTGCTCTTGTTTTCTTTTGCTACTTTTACCTATTGATCAGCTAATTTTAGCTTTTTGTTAGCCTTTTGATAAGTTTAGCTTCCAGCTAGTCTTTACTACTTGTATGCTAATCCTTTGCTCTTTTTTATTAACCTTGAGCTACATTTAGTTAGCATTATGCAACTTTCAGCTTATATCTACCATTTTGTTACATTTAGCTTTTAGCTTGCCTTATGTCACTTTAGCTTATAGTTAGCACAACTTTAAGATAGTTCTTCACAACTTTAGACTAACCTTTTGCTTTTTATAGCCTCTACCCATACTTTTAGCTTTTTGTTAGCCTTTTGCTACTCTTAGCTATTGTTTTTAGCAAAACATTTTCTGATTCTAGCTAGTATATTCACCTTTTAGTTTCTACTCACTGTTCTGCTACATTTAGCTTTTTGCTAGCTTTTGCTACATTTAGCTTCTAGCTAACATTTACTACTTTTGTCTAGTCTTTTGCTACATTTGGTCAATCTTTGCTACTTTTAGTTAGCTTTTAGTTATTTTTAGCTTTAACCTACTTTTTTACCACCTTTAGCTTTTGATTGCCTTTTAAACCTTTTACCATGTAGCATTTAGCTACATTTAGCTTGTAGGTGGCCTTTTGCCGTTTTTAACTTTTTTCGCTTGCTTCTTCTTCTTTAAGTGAGCATTTTCCTTTTTTTTTTTGCTTTCTTTTAGCTTTTAGCTACTATTCTTTTGTTGTTGTTGTTTGTTTGATTTAATCAGTTTCAGCTTCTTCCGCAAAATTCAGCAAAGTGATTCAGCACTCAGCATTCACAGCATTTTCACAGAAAATTAAACATTTATTTTTACCTTGGCCAGCTTCCACCCCTCCACTGCCTCCTCGCCATTACTCCGCCCTTCAGCTTTAACCAGCTCCTGGCTCCACCCCCTCAGATGTCCATCGAACTCCTTCAGCTTGTCCTCCAGGCAGGCAGTGAGACGTTCGTATTCCTCTTCTGAAGCTTCATTTGCAGCAAGGGCCCCCTCCAGGCCATCCCTGGCCCTCAGAGCGGCCCCCTCCCACTGCTCCAGAGCATGTGAAAGCGCCCCCAGTTGGCGATCCATGGCCTCGCAGCCTCCTGCTGCTGTGTGCTCTGCTGTGGTCGCTGCGCTGCGACGGACCCGGCTGAGGCGCTCGCGGCCCTCCATGAGTCGACACTTTACACGCTCCTGTGGCAGGTAGACGGGAGACTAAGTTGCTACGGAAACTGTGGCTAAGGAAACTACACTCTCTGGATATGTGTGCGTGTTTTAAAAAAATATATATTTAGACCTCCTTGTGTAGTATTTGTATTCTCTTATGTCTCCCGCTCCATCATTTCCTTTAAATTTAATCATGCTCATCCTGTATGTTCTTTGGTTATCTCCTGGCATTAATGTAATAATTTCATCCACCTTCTACGTCAACACTTTTATTTTCTTTGAGAAGCACTCGGCATGGAGATGAATTGAAAAGCAAACACTTGAGGACAATGAGATCTTTAGGGCGGTTAAAAGAGCATCTGACCATGTAAATGTGTGCTTATCAGCAGTAACCTTGTATAGACAAGACATCATAGCTTCACTCAGTAGCTCTGCAAACACATTTACAACGTGATAATTAGGGCCCATGTGTAATATTTAAATGCAAATCAATTTCACCACACTTTTTTTTCCCACCACTGTGATTGCAGAATTGTTTAACGAGGGAAGTGCACACAAATGCAGTTTCTCTAATTTATCCCTCCTTTTGTAAGACAATAATGCTCAGTAAATGGGCAGTAAATTGCACCACCAAAAGAAAAGAGATTGAGATATTTGGCTCAGATATGAGAAACAAGTTGGGAACCAATTTCTGTTTTCTGCATTACTTACTCTCTTCACATTCGTTCAGATTAGAAAAAAATCAGATATTTCAATTATCACCAAAAGCAGCAGGTTTGACACCTTTAAATGGGTTTAAAAATTCAAGAAACAACACGTTTACATGATGCATTTTACTGTCAGAAAAAATGGCGTTAATGTACTGAAAATAAAAAATCCACCATTACTTGAAGGAATTCAAATCACCCGCTGCCTTTCATGTCAGAACTTCATGATTAGATTATTTGCCTGTTGTTTAAAGACTGAGTTGTTGCCATTTTGGTCAAACATTAAAAAAAATAAAATCAACGATTTTCTATAAAATCAGGTAATTTCAAGCTCAGAGTGTTTGTTGTGAATGACTGTCATCTACTACCACATCAAATTTTAGTTCAATATCTGCTGAACTGATTACATTATAGTATAACACTTTGTGTTGTCTAATGTCAATCATTGGTGGTAGCCATCTTGACTCCAAATGTTTTTTTTTTCAGTTGTAAATGTACATCCAGTGATTAATTTCTGGGAGTTTCATTAAAATCTGTCAAATGGTTTGTGAGATATTGTGCTAACAGACAAGCAGAAATTAGTACAAAAAAGTGGAAATGATCTGAAAAAAGCAGAAAGTGTGAATAAGCAGTTGAATAGTAGCTAAAAAAAACAGAATCACAAAAGTGTGAATGCTTAATAAACATTCACATTATTATTTTAGACATACAGCCAGCAATTGCTAGCTATGCAAACCTAATCTGTTAATGATGATCATATAAAAGATAATAAAATGGTTAAATCATGTCATCTGGACCTGTGGAATGTTTCGTCCCAAAATACTAGAACGCCCTTTATTGTAATCATATGAATACAGTGTATTCATCTGGAAGGGAGAGATCATCTAAAGAAAAGTACTATCTAAAAACATGTAGCAAGTGCTAAGTTAAGCATGTCTATCCCTGCCACAAGTGAACTCCAATCAGATCTGTTAAGAGCTCCAAGTTCTTGCCGACTGGTTTGAATCTCGGGACTTTGGCCACAAACTAAACACTTTAAACCTACAGCAGCAAGATGGACTCTTCTGTGAATACGATCTTGCAGTTTAAAAATGGTCATCTCCACGTGAACTCAATGTTTGATCAAAAGTACGAGTGCAGAACGTTTTAACATTTCACATGAAGAAGCCCTTATGTGCACCCCAACACTTTCATGCCACTGCAACTTATTTTTCCACAATAAATACGATGGGATATCCCTGTAACTAATCCAAAGCCTTTCTTTACCTTCACTTTTGACAGTTTCTTCCTGATGGAGGCAGAATCTCCAGATGTATCAGACCAGTGCTGTAGCTCCTCGCCTGCGGTCATCAACCAATCGGTAAGATCCCGAACAGCCTCCAGGTAGTCCTGGTGCTCCAACACCACGCCCTGTGCTAGATGTACTCTCTCCTACAGAATAAACGGGGAACAAAAACACCTATTTAAAAAAAAAAACAACTTCTAATATTATGGAATAGAACACACAAAGAGGTGCAGTTTTTTTAATTTTTTTATGAAATGGTAAAATCCTATTCCTTTTACCTCCACCAAAGCTGTGAGATGATCAAACTGCACCTGCAGCTGGGTGCGAGCCCCATGGTTGAAGCTGGCATCACCTGTCTTCTTGAAAAGCTCCCTGGCTTTCTCTTCCAGGCTGGAGAGCGCCATCTGGTGGTCTTCTAGGTCGGCCACCAGAGCTCTGAGTCTCTCTAACTGGGAGGCCTTCTCTCTGGGTCCAGGCTGCGGTGGGAGAGGGGTGCACACCTCACGCCTGACAGCCTCCATCCAACTCTGCAGCTGAGCAGCGCTCTCGAGGTATCCCCCCCACTGAGACACAGTCCACTCTAATCGACTGCAGACAAGACAGTACATCTCGAATTTCACATATGCCTTTAATAAATAAAATGAGCTGTTTTCAACTTATGTAAAAAACAATTGCGTAATAATTACAGTTTGACATGAGTAGCTCATTACATATATGTTTTTTTTACTTTCCTCACATCCTCAGTTTATATTTCAAACCCATAACAAGAGCATGAAATAAACACTGTCAGTAATTCTTGCCAAGTGCTTTTATCCCCTTTAATCACGTAGTTCAAACATCCACAGACACAGATACACACCCATAATTTCCCTTGCCATCTGTTACCCCTGCATGCGCAAATAACGCCAATATCCACACACGTGCACCTCTCGTTCACCTGCTACCCCTCGCCTCCTGTTCCCACTTTCCCCTTAAAACACAAACACACCCCATGCGTGACCCACTGTTTGCCATCCACCATTTAATCCCTAATGAGATCATTTTTTCCCTCCTAAGAGGGGCCATAATTGTTCAATTTACCACACAGATCGGTGCGTACTGACCTGCACGCGCGCACGCACACACACGGAAGAGAGCAAACAAAGACGTATCAATCAGACTCAGAAAAGAGACAAATAAGCCTCATTATGTATTTACCCTATTGGTAATTAATAGTAGTGATGCACACTCTGTCATTAAGAAATAACATGCTCCCTAGTGAGGACTTTTTTTTTTGGCACACACATTAGTTCTTTAAAACGCCATGGCAAATGAGAGGAAGGAAAAACAGTTATATGTTATTTATTTATCACGTATCAACGGGGAAGTCTAACTGCATGGGTATGATTCCATTAGAGTACCTGTGGCAGCTCATGGCAGTGACGAGCAGCGTGGCCCAGGCATCTTCCACTTCCTGTAGCTGAGACCGGACCACTTCCTGTCCTGCGGCTCCATAGCCGCGCAGGGCAAGCTCTGCTTTACCCATCGCCATGTTCAGCTTCACCTCCCCTTCTCCCTTCAAAAGGAGGATGTCCTGTTCAAACAAGAGGATGGTCTCTGTAAACTGTGTTGAGACTAATTTAATAAGCTAAAAGGTTTTCTAAAACAAACAGCCTCAACCCCTGTGTCTGCTGAAACCACCATTAAGACCTCACCTGCACAGCCTCCAGTCTCTGCTCTAGCTGCTCCTTAGTTCCCATTGTGCTGTCTACTGTACCAAGACGCTCCTGGATCTCCTCCAGCCAGGCCCAAACTCCCTGGAGGGTGTCTCCAAAGGCCTGGTTCTCCTGGCAGACCCGTAGCTTCTCTCTGGCCGTCTTCAGCAGAGCCTGATACTCCATCTGGAGCTGGCCCGTCACCCTGACCTCTCCTCCAGAACCCCGGCCTGATTCAGACAGAGCCTGGGCCTCCTGACAGAGACGCTCGACAGACTCCCTACACAGAAAAAAGAAGATAATGAATTATTGCTGCTCGGACTGTTTAACAGCTGATCTTACAACCTTTACAACAAATGCCCTTAGGTGCTCATATACTCAAACCTTCGAGCTATGAGATCTTTATTGAGGTTTTCCATTTTCTGCAGCTCTTCTGAAGGGTCCGAGCCTCCTTTCTGGCTCGCTGCCTCAAGAACAGACTCACTCTTTAGGCTGAGATCCATCTGCTCCAGCCATTCTTTTATTCTCTCCACACAATCATCAAAACTAAAAGAAAGGGTGCAAAAAGAAAAGTGGCATATTTCTGTTGAATAAAAGTGTTTTTAATTTAATGCGAGACTTTAAAAGTGAGAAGACTTACTTCTTTAGGAGGTCAATGCTTTCTTGCAAGTATTGCTGGCTCTGACAGCGGCTATCCAGGTAGTTCTTCCACTCTTTCTGACATGAGGAGCAATTCTCTTGGACCTGTGCTGCTCCAGCTTTGCTCAGGTGAAGCTGAAGGTTTTCAGCCTCCTTACAGACCTGAGAGAGACGCTCCTCTCCCTCAGATGTCTGCTCAGCTGACAGCTGGGGCGAGAAAGAGGAGCATGTTGCTTGTTGTTAACACTGATGTGCCACAAAATAATTGAGGAGCAGAACCTTCCATTGTTAACACATTACACAGATAAGTTACAAACAGAAGCTTAAGGTAGAAAAAGACTAGTTAAAGCAAAAAAAGATTAGCTGAAGTACCAAAGTGGTAAAAAAAAGCAAAAGGCTAGTTAGAGGCTAAAGGCAAAAATAGCAAAAGGCTAATCAACTGTATCAAAAAGCTAGCTAAACATTAAAGGAACAGAAATCTAATTTTGAGCTAAATTTAGCAATATGCTACTTATAAGATGAACAGATTAAAAGGCAAGCTAACAGTATAAAAAAGTGGATAAAAGGTAAAAGCTGCAAAAGGCTAGCTAAAAGCTAAAAAATATCAAAAGGCATAGCTAACAAAAGCAAAACAATAAGTTAAAGCTTAAGTAGAAACGGTTAGCTAAAAACTGCAAACGGCTATTTAACAATAGCAGAACAGTAAGTAAAAACTTAAGTAGCAAACAGCTAAGTATCTAATTGTTTATCAAAAGTAGAAATGAATTCCTAAGTTTAAAGTAGCAAGAGGCTAGCTAGTAGTAAAATATAACAAACAGCAAGCTAAATGTTAAAAGAAGCAGACCAATAGCTGAAAACTAAAAGTAGCGAAGGCAAATAGAGCAAGTACATTGAAGCATTATTCAAAGAGGAGTGTGTTTTTGAAGGAACTGAAGAGACTGTCTATGTATATCTATGTGAAAAATATTTTATCAATATTTTGAAATGTGTAAAAGTTACAAAAACCAAAAGTCACACCATCCGTCTTTTCTAAATGAGCTCAACGTTTTGATGTATGAATGTTTGAAATAGCAAAATAGGTAGATTGCAAAATCAAACAACAAAAACAGGAACACAGTGACTCAGCAGTCACACTTATAATTTAGAAAATATAAAAAAATCATTGTTGCTTTCTTTATTCAGAATAAAATAAAGTCCAATAATTAGGTGTAATTACTGAAAACTGAATGACATGAATAAGCTTTCTGATTACTGCAGAACATGGAGAAACACTAATAAACTATTTAACAGTACCTTCAGTCTTTGCAACTTGGCTCCGAGGATGGCAACATCCCCTGATTGATTAAAACAGTCTTTCAGCTCCAACTTCAGGTCCGCGAGCCAGGACTTAAAGTCTTGGACGAGCTCTGCATCGAGGAACAGAAAGAACCGGATGAGCTAAAAGCAAACAGCGTGCTGACAAGATGATTTAGATGGCGTTATAAATAAAGGCAGAAACGATTTTTAAAAAAATTCACGGAACGAGAAGGAGAAGTAGAGGAGATCTGCTGAGGCAGATGGGAAGTGTTGGCGTGTCCACGCTGTGCAGTGCTGCGTTGCCTTGGCAACAAGCCCAAAAATGACTCCCTCGAGAGCGGATGTGACGAGTGCGACACTCACTCTGAGGCGCAGGTGTGTGTCGAAGCAACAAGAGTGCATCGGTGCACCTGACAGCGTGTGTGGATGGAGTGTGGGATGTTGTGGGCGGATGGAGTGTGCTCTGGGGGAAAGTGAAGGATAATCAACAGCAAATCTGTTGCATTACGAACACAAATGAATTACACTGCTTTGTGTAGCTGAGCAATGTTTGATCGGGAGATAACGAGCTTTTAAACACTATTAGGAGTCTAATTTCTCCTCACCTGGGAAGGAGTTACCGCGTCTACTTACTCTTGGATAATTCACTCTGTTTTGATGTTAGATGGCATTTGATACGCATCATCTGACTCCAGAAGTCCAGACCTGTTAATGTGTCTTACCGTTGAAATGGAGCTGTAGTCCGTCCTGCAGGCTGCTCCTGGTCTTTGCACAGCGTTGAGCAACGGCCTCTGTTCGCTTGGCGATGGAGGTGAGGTCAGAGGAGAGGCGGGACAACTCCTGAGATGGCTGTGATCTGCTGAGGGAGGTCAGGACATCTCTAGCTGAGTCCATGTCTGCCCTCTGTTGCTGCACAACAACCTGCAGGTCCTAAAATAGAAAAGAACAGGACCATAGCATGTTAGAATTTATAGCTACAGGAAGGTGGAATAACAGATTTATCAGTTTCTGATTTACTAAATCGATCCCAGTCAGGATGATCCACTGTGGGGTCTAACATCTGTCCTGCTATGAGGTGGAGGTGGGTGACAACTGGAAAATACTCAATGGTCTGCGATTTTTTCCATGTGAAAATGATTAGAGGAAAAAACAAACGGTCACAGCAATGGTTTAACCATTTGACATTTTCACACAACTATTTTTTGTATATTTTTAAATGGTTTGGGAGCAGAAAAACTGGACTTGAACTTAAACATAGGTTCGATGAGTTTTTAGTTTTTATTTATATTTTAATCTTGTTTTATGCATGTTTGTTGTTGAATGCTAACAACAGTTTTTGGTACAGCTTACAAAAAGATGGTCTTACAGCCTGTCAGTGCACCTCCCTGTTTAAAAACAAATTTATTTTCATTATCATTATTATTATCATTTCCTCCCCTTGCATGCACAAAAAGAGTGCATTTGATTTAACACACTTGAGCACTTTATGCATTAAAGTGTTGTTTATCATTAATGCATTGATTAAAGCAGATGGTAAAATACAATATAGTAATAAATATATACTGTATAAATATATATATATATATATATATATAAAGGAGTTCTATGCCATATTGCTCAGTCTAACTACACAGGTTGATAAATGGTGACATAAATAACAGGAAAAAGCAAAAAGACACTTCTATAAAATCAACCTGTCCATTTTGTTGCTCCCCTGAAAACCGCTTGTAGCTGGTTTAAACACAAGAAAAAAACTGCCTTTTGCCACCAGTTAAGCAAAATATGAGAAATCATAAGCTCATACCTTCACAGTTTGAATATGTTCTAATGAAGAAGCTTCGGAGAGGTCTGATATGGAACCTTCAACACCCTCCAGCCGCTCAGCCATTTGGGACATGAGGTCCTCAAGTCGCTGCTTCTGGAAGTTGAAGTAGGTCAGCGTGTGTTTGGCCTGGTTGAACGCCTCCTGCGCGTGGAACATTTTCTTCCTCAGATCCGACTCCAGAACCTGGCCCAGTAAAAACAGATAGCAGCACTTTAAAACAAGAGGCAGATTTACACAACACAAACACTTTATTTGTCCATTCTATTACAATGACACACACAAAAAGAGCAAAAGTCAAAGTAACGTCCGTGTTTTTAACTTTCTATTTTTCTCATTTAATCCTAAATAATAATGTGGTTTACTGATTGGTAAGCTGAGCTAAAAAGTTTTGTGTTATTAAAGGTGAGTGGTGATCGGGTGCGGTAGTTACATATAGCAAGTTAAACGCAACAGAAACTTTCAATTTGAAATTATATA